AMYWAAAAAAWTTWAAAAAAAAAAACATTCAATATGCCTAAAGAAATATAAAAGAGATATTTACCCCAGTGTTTAAAAAAAAATAAGGCTAGTCAGGCATGGTGTCATACACCTCTACTCTCAGCAGCTTGGGAGGCTGAGACAGGAAAATCACAAATTCAAAGCCAGCTTCAGCTACTTAGTGAAGCCCTAAGCAAGCCATGGTGACTCTATCACTAAATAAAATATAAAAATGGGCTGGGGATGTGGTTCAGGGGTTAAGCACGTCTGAGTTCAATTCCCAGTACCAATAAGGGGAGGGTGGTTACAAATAATGGCACTCCCTAAAATAGCACAAATCTAATATTTATTAAAAGAAATTACTAATAGACCTAAGTCCCTTTCTCAAACTAACTAAAAGGTCTTTTGACTTGCCCAATGAGGGAAAGCAGCTTGTTTGTTTGTTTCCAGCTCTTGGCTCAAATAATAGAGAAAAAGAGGTCCTTAGAATATCTAGGCCTCTGTACACAAAAGGTATAGTACTTCAACAAATTTTTATTCACTTCTCACCATGTCCTGCCCTATTAAACCACACACAATTCATTATCTTTTAGGAAGTCTAGGAGCATAGTTCTAAAATATTTAGAAAGATGAAAATGAGGATTTTAGTATTTTTCATCAAATGCCAGTTAGGGAGTATTTTTTTGAAGAACATTACTTATGATCTCTTCATACTGGAAATTCAAAAGCAATAATATGGAAGAAAACAGCTCATCTGGGGCTGGGGCTGGGGCTGGGGCTGGGGCTGGGGCTGGGGCTGGGGCTGGGGCTGGGGCTGGGGCCGTAGCTAGGTGGCAGAGCACTTGCCTAGCATGTGTGAGGCAATAGGTTCAATCCTTAGTACCACATAAAAATGAAACAAAGCATGCTGTCCATCTATAACTACAAAAATAATAATTTCACTCACAAAAGCATATACTAGGGCTGGGGATATGGCTCAAGTAGTAGCGCGCTCACCTGGCATGCATGAGGCACTGGGTTCGATCTTCAGCACCACATAAAAGTAAAATAAAGATATTGTGTCCACCTAAAGCTAAAAAATAAATATTAAAAAAAAAAAAGCATAGACTATACCCTACCACACTAAATAACAAAGACAAGGTAATTCCGGAATGTCTTCTCCAGATGACTTGAGGAAATATAGGGCACAGAAACAAAATATTTTTTCTTCACAGATTAAGAATCTACACATACACTGAACATCACCTTAGATCAGGCTAACTTCTATGGAGTATCCTAATGAGTTCCATATATACACTTACTACCTAAGTCCTTTTGTGGCACAGAAAATATAAATAAATAGGAGAATAAGTTTGTTCTTCTACTAATGGGTAGGAATCACAGACAGGTGACCTCTACAATAAACTTCAAAAAACACAAAAGGTGTGGATTGTGCTCACAGCTTTAACCACATGGTATGGTGACTCCATACGAAATTATATAGAGTGGAAGAGAGAGAGATTTATGACTTTGGAGACTCACTAGCAGTCTACCTATGAAGAAATTTAAATACTACCTATATAAAAGCAAATGAGTGATCTTTCATCTTACCCATGACAATCATGTAAATATGGTCCAGAAAAAAATCAAGGAGATTCTCTTTTGATCATTTAGGTCAAAGTGAACCTTTCAGATTCTCCCTTATAAGTTTTAAAGAAAAATAAACTCCATAGAGCCCCCACCTCATTTGCCTAACTCTGGGTTCATCTCTCATCAAGTTTCACTAAAAGGATAAAAGCCTTCTACAAGCCCAAAAAACGGGTACTCCAGAGACTCTCCCCGCTAACTGCCTATTCAAATAAAATCCTTTTTCACCTTGCCTTATAAGTTATTCCTCTTATATTGGGATACAGACATTCTAGAGACTATTCCCTTTATAATCTGCATTTTTTTTTCCCAAAGCAAATGTTGGAGTCAGTTTATACTAAGATTTTTAATCTAAAGAAAGCCCTATTCAAATTTAGGATGATAAGACAGTGCACTAATTGTATTCTGCAACCCACAGTTTCTCCTTATTCCTCTCAAATGCAAGAGCAAGGATCATTAGTACACACAGGGAAATTCCTGTACTTTAACACCAAGACCAGAGGTTAAAATAATTGGTCACAAGGGATAAACCTACCTTAGAACAGAAATAGAAGAAACACTCTGAGCACTATAAACAATGGTCATCACAGGACAGTACTATATCAAGTCATTGTCAATAGAAAACTGTGTGTGTTTGTGTGTGCATGCGCGCCAGTGCGCTCAAGCACGCGCACACACGCGTGTGTTGTTTTCCCTGGAGTGTGTGGTATGTGTGTGTTGTTTTCCCTAGAGCCCACGAGATGATACCTACAATCCTAGATTGCTTAGACCTAAAAATACGTACACGGAAGAGTTAAAAGAAGTGAAAGAATTGATCACTTATTTCCMTTACTGCAAAAGAAAAGGTGTCCGTAAGGTGCCTCACCTTCTCCCAGCCTAAAAAATCTCAAGAGTTCAGCTATCCAGCTATTCCGAAGCTCAGAGATGCACTGGAACTTCCTTTTCCTGTCTAACTTCACAAAACGTCCCAGGAGCAAGAGTCACGTGATTTTTCGGGGTTAAAAGCTGAGAGTTACTTAATACCTGTCTCAAACTAGAAAAGAAAATAAGAGCTCCACTTAAAATACGCAGGCAAGGCATACGTAAGGTAGGAGGTAAATAAACGTACACCTCAACTTTGAGAGGCCAACAGCAGAAATGCTCTTTGGGCTAGTTAGCTGTATCCCTCAGTACCAAGGGCAGGGACTCCGGCAAGACCCCGCCCTCCCCCATCTCCAAAGCGGGGTGGGCGGGAGGTAGCCTGAGGAGTCCTTGTTCCCGCGCGAAGCTCAGAGACCAAAGGACTCCCTATTGTGGGTTTACGGACGCTGACGGGAACCCGTCCCGCTCCAGCCACGAGCTGAAGAGTAAGCCGAAAGCTCCCGAGGCCCGCATGGCTGCCACCGCCGCCAGGGAACCGACCGCTGTCAGAGAACGGCTGCACCCGGGAAACCGGAGGGTGGCCCCAAAAAGAATTCATGCCTCACGGTGTGTGGGAGGCGGGGGTCCTSGAGCCGTACCTCAGACACTTCGTCCTCATCGCTGCCAGAGGCACCACCTCCACCTCCGGTCCTCAGCACGGCAGCCGCCAACTTGAAATCCAGCGCCGCGTCCCCTCCGCCCGCAGCGCTGCCGCCGCCACCGACTCCCGGCGCGGGCCCGGCCTCCCCAAAGAGCCTCACGGTGCGGATCCCCAGTCCGACCCCTCCCGGCGGAGGCGGCTCCGAGGCCCCGGCTGGGGCGGATCGCGGAGCCACAGAGTCCAGGTCCTCCTCAAAGGAGGTGCCGCCGCCTCCGCCGTCGGTCAGCATGGTTCGCACGCGGAGCCGGAGACGCTGCCGAGTCACTCGCGGCCACCGCCGCCGCTGATCCCGGGAAGGAGAGGAGCAGCAGGAGGAAGAAGCGTCTCCTTCCCCCCGTCCCAGCAGCGCCACTAACTTCTCACTGCCTAACCTGCTGCCTCCCGCCCCCTCAACCCGCCACTGGCTGCAGCTCTCCGGCGGCTGCAGATCATTGGCCAAGGTGACCTGTCGCTCAGGCTCTCCGTCACGCGCTGCTCGCTGGCTCGCGGCCCTCAAGCTGCGTTGACCCGCGCAGGCCTAGGCGGTTGCGAACACCCGCCTCTCACTCCTCACGAGCCGACTTCCGGTCCTTTTCTGTGTCTATTGGCCAGCCTCTCTGACTGTAGCGTCACGACCTTAAAGTGGATTAGTTAGCCTTGTGGTCAGTCATAGTGACCCCTAACAATGGGAAACTCCATTGGCGCCATAAAGTGTCGGTCACTTTGTCACAGGACGTCGCGTGGTACAATTGGCCGGTGAGGGTACTATTCATCCCGCCTCCATCTGAGGTGACGGGAAAAGGCTGGGGAATTTCCACTTCTGATTAAAATGAGGGCTTGAAGTGACGACTCGCAAGAATTAATAAAATTTGGAGTAGACCTAACCCTGCGCTTGGTGAAGCTCGAATGCCAAGGATGCAAGAGGCGCAGAGGTAACGCAGCTTCCACCTGTCGCTCTCCGCCGGGTGCCGAGACTATGGCCGGAAAGTAGCTGCACCGGGATTGGAGGAAAGAAGCAATCGGTCTCATCGAGACCCCACCTTCCTGCCAATGCCTGGTTGGAGGACCGCAGCGTCAGTCACTCTGGGACAGGTGAGGCTGCCTAACCCTTCTGCCTCTGCCTCTGCCCCTGCCTCTCTTCCTCTTTGGGCGGGAGCGGGAGGCAGAGAGCGGAGAGGGAAGGGGAGAGGGGCTGGGCGCTTCCTGCGGACCCTTCCGCCTATCCAAGTTGAACCCGGCGCGCGGAGCTGAGGGAACCCGGGGAGCAGCTCCAGATGGCCGTCCTGAGGCAACTCGGCCCTCCCGCACGCTGGGACGTGGCTGGGCGCGGCGATTCTACGGGCTTTAGGAGCGATCGCCCTGGGGGACCGCGTTCTCTTGCGTGTGGAAGGCGGAGGGTCAGCGGGGCTGGACAGCGCCATCAGTACCGGGAACTGTCCCACCAAGGCCGCTAACAGCGCGCTGAATCCAACCTCAGGGCTGAACTGAGGCAAGGAGGAGTGCTCCAGGGGAGTTTTGAGTTCTGGTGCCGCCACTTATTTGCTGGGTGACCTTGATAGGTTTGATGTTACTGCATGTGCAATGGAAATAATATCAGTACCTGCCTCAATGGGTGGTGGTTGTGAATAAATTCGGTGATGACCTAAAG